CTAATTATGATAGATATTTCATAATTTCAGGATTTAATCCGTGCATCTGTGACACAAGGTCAGAACCCAACACCAGCGTCATCCTCACTTCCACCACCCTTAGTGATAAAGTTACCTTCACAGACAGAGGAAAATAAAGAGAAAATTTCCTCTCCATTAGCTGCTCCAAAAGAGTCTGATGACATTTCTGAGGAAGAGGAAGAGGATGATGATTGGGATGCTTTCCAGTCTTTTCCGGCTTCCAGAAATGAAGCTGTTCCGACACCAGAAAGAGGCTCCTCAGTTTCAGATTACAGTAGTACAGAAAAGGATGTTAAAGGACACACTAATTCACCGTCTACTAGCAAGGTGGAAGAACTCGCTGTTGAAGACGATGATATGTTTGAAAGGGAAATTGCGTTTCACCCAGCAAATGATAGCAGCGATCAAATAAAAGAATGCTCTGATGCCGGTGATTATTCCCATAATGCTCATCAATCTGATGATTTCCAAAGGGATGGTGATACAATGTTATCAAGGTGTGATAACAAAGTCGTGACTGCTATCCCAGTTTATCAAGCGGTAGAAAAAAACATAGATCCATTTCCCCATGGGGGGGGCAAGACAATTGAAGTAGTGCCCGGCGATGAGAATGATCAGTCTTTATCAGATGAGGAAGGTCATAGCAAGCCATCTGATGGATTGGGATCTTTCAATGAACTTCAACCTGCTGAATTTGCAACAGGAGATGCTGAGCAATCTGATGATCACCATCTGGAAGATGCAGGTACCACTGACCATGGCAATAGTCCAGCCTTATCCAATTCCGAATCAGCCAAAGATGAAGGTGAAATCCAAGTTGATGAATCAGAAACTGATGACCAAACAAGGGTAGCCGTGGTCATGAATGATGATAAAGTTACCTCTGACACAAATACTACTGATGCTGATTCTCACGGGAAAACTAATCATACACATGTTGAATCCCACTTGCCAAAGCTTGATGATTAGTAGAAATGAGAATGTTAAGTAGTAGGCACATCAGTTTCCCGAGAAGAAGTGACTGCAGTTTGTAATCGTAAGATTTATCAACAAAACTGTGAAGTGCGTAGGCGATGTTAATGGTGATGTGCACAGTTATGTTCAGTGTACACAGCTGGGCTAGTGGACCTCTCAGTAGGATTCGAACCCAGATGAAGTTTTGACCATCTATCATAGAAAATGAACACACGGATCTTGTAGGATTCCCAAGAATGTTTTTGTCTTATATTCCTTCCACTGAGTTTTTTAACTGCTGATTCATTTTATGTCAGTATTAGGTGCTTTAAATTCAGTGGTGCTGTAGAATTTAACTGAATACTTTCTATTTAGCTGTTGCAGTGCATTACGAGTCTATTAATCTAATGACTGAAGAAGCCTGGTTGTTCTTGTTTAACATTATGTTCTTGTTGAGGAAATGGTGGCAGATAGCCACCAAAAACAGATAATTTTCCAAAATGGTCGTTGACTACTGTTTAAAAAAAAAGAAAAAAAATTGAAAAATTTGTAAAAACCTTAAAAACAGTGAAAACCCAATATTGTCCCTAACAAATCACTCTCAAACCGACGTCTGGAGAAAGAAGGGGAAGAAATGGTAAGGAAACCGACGACTTTTTCTTGGAAGGAGATCGACCGGCCACCATTAGAGGCGAAGAAAATAAAATTTCCTTATTTTTTTCCCATTAATTTTTGAACCTGAATGTTGAAGCTTTATTTTGTTAGAAATAGTGGTAGAAATTTTTATAGATTATGTAAAATTACTAGAAATTGCCTTTTTGAGGTTTTAGTAGTCGGAGATTGTCGGAAATGGCGATCTCCGGGAGCAGACGACCGTCAGCTGGCACAGGTCGCCTATCGCCTGGGCTTTTATTTTATTTACGGCACAAGCCGCTGTCGCCTGGGCTTTTATTTTATTTTATTTTTTTTCATGTGAATTAAAATAATTGAAATGTAACAATAAATTATTATTTAAACAAGAATTCATTCCTCAATCTTCTGGCTGTTCGGACCCCAGTGGGAACTTGTGTCTTTCTACTGCAGTCATTTACTTTTGTGATATCCATTTCTGCACAACTGCAGTTGGTACCACAACTGATCTGTCTGAACTATTGAAGCTATGTCGTTGTTCCATTACAATCATATTCATCAAAAATTAAGTAATCCTGAATTTCATGAAAAATTTGTTGTGAAATTTGGATATGACGTCATTTACTTGAAATGGGATTTACATTTACATTTAATGTAGAGACGGAAACACTAAAGAATGATTCAGCTTTCCATTACTCTTGACTCACCTCTGTTCTTAAACATGTCCTTTGGGGTTTGTTCATTTCACTGGAATTGAGACTTACAATGTTTCAGGCCAATAATATGTTTTCTTTTAACTGATCGTGGTTGGAGATAAATCATATTTTGAACGATCAAATTAGTCGAGTACAAATCATCATACAACTCCAGAACTGAAAAAATGTAGCACCAAAACCTTTATATGTTATTCTTGAGTTCAATTTCAGGTAAGTCAATGAAACAGTAGATTTAATTTCATTGGAATTAAAAGTTATAACTACAGCAAAACATAATATGCTCTATATGAAGAACTTATAACGAGGGGCAATTTGAAGCCAAGGGTCCTGGAACTTCCACTTCAAGTAGCATTTTCTCTTACTTATGATTAGACAAAGTGAGTTGGAATCCCCTACTCGCGTGTGCTAGTCTAGATTTACTCAATATAAAGAGGGGATGTCGTTGTATTTTATCATATAATATCTTAACGTTTCTGATAAATTTGTCCAGTAATGTGATTTTCCCCCGGGTTAAGGTAGTAATGCGACTGATGAATTTGCTATATTACAGGAAAATCTGAACTTGGGGATGATGGCATTAGCCACTTTCAAACAATATGCAGAGCTTGTCTAAATGCAACTGCTAGTCTAACTAATGACTGCATCCAGAGAATTCAACAATTGGAATACAAGAGTTCTAACTCATGCAAGATGTTGCACACAAAGCTTGCATTTTCTGTTGAACAAATTTTCCAGTTTGCCATGCTAGCATTTGAAGGTCCTGGAGAGGACGCAGGAAGCAATCCCATCTTATTTGCAGTTCTGCATCATGGCATTCAATGTGTCCGAGCTGTTCTTACTGATTCTGACATACAGGTATCGAAATGTCAATTTTTATGTTGATCTAACTCACCTAAAAAAATTAAGCTGTCAGAGCATGGATAGCACAGGCCAAATTCTTTTCAGAGCATGGATAGCACAGGCCAAATTCTTTTTTTAATCAAAGGCCTGGAATGTGAACGATATTCACAAATTGGTAGAGGCGAGACTTGAAATCAATACTTATGTGTGTTTTGATTCCATGTTGATCCACCTCATATAGAGGACACTATTCATTTAAACTTAGCGCTTGTTTGGTAGGGATGTTAAGTCAATTAAAATAAATTTTTTGACCGTTATTTCACTATTCGAGCCTTTATTTTTAAATTCTTCTCTCACAGGTAGGATCCACTTTATCTCTAACAGTCAAAAAATCAATTAACAAAATCCCCACCAAACAAGCTCTTAGTCTTCATCAGTTCATAATATCAAGGCACTCGTGCTCAAATAACCAAGCATAACTGTTTTGTGCAGATTCGAGCAATTGGGTTACAAGTCGTAAAAGTCATTCTACAGAAAGGAAGCAGTGCAGAATCTAATAATTTTTCGATTTTTTTTGTTGGGGAGCTTGTTGGAGATTTGTTTATTATAATTCAGAAAATTTTGGAGGTACTCAATTCACAGAATGTTTCTATTTTTTCTTTAATGAACTCTGCATCAACTTAAAGGGCATGCAATGTGCTTTTGATTTCAGAAACCTATCAACAGAGAAGCAGTGACTATTGCAGTGGAGTGTCTGAAAATTCTAATGCTTCTCCAAACTCTTTCAAAAGCTAATGAGTACCGGAAAGAACTTGTAAATCTGCTTTTGGAAGCTGTTCTCATGATTACATCAGATGGTTCTCTTTCTCAGGTAATCCCATATGATAAACCGTCTGATTCTTGTTTTGTTTTCTTTTTCTCCATTCTAATTGTCAATTTCAATTATAGGAAGCAAATGAATTACGAAGTGCGGCTGTAAAACTTGTTTCTCAACTTGCTCAAATTCCTAGCTCGGCAGCTTATATCAAGGATATTCTATTGGCAATGCCTGCTATAAGAAGACAGCAGCTTCAGGTTCTTTTATTCTTTGCCATTATTGACAGAACATTGAAACAATTGAATTAGTAGGCAAATGTACTCGTTTCCAGCATATTTCTTGTTAAATCCTGGTATACTCACCATTAATTTGTCATTTTTTTTTTTTTCAATTATTTGAAAAAACTCTTGATGCTATATGCGGAATACTTGATTTTTGAAATGAACCAATGTTTTAGTGAGATTTGATTAACATCAGTGCTTAACTCGAGCTTCAAGAAATTTCTTTCTATACGATAATATCACATTATGCATAACAAAGGGAAGAGAATCTCAGGGTACATGTAATTCTAGACTTCTTGCTATTTTTCCCTTTTTTCTTGTGTGTTTGTCTGAGTAAAATTGAAATATATATATATATATATATATATATATATGCTGTAGAATTTAACTGAATACTTTCTATTTAGCTGTTGCAGTGCATTACGAGTCTATTAATCTAATGACTGAAGAAGCCTGGTTGTTCTTGTTTAACATTATGTTCTTGTTGAGGAAATGGTGGCAGATAGCCACCAAAAACAGATAATTTTCCAAAATGGTCGTTGACTACTGTTTAAAAAAAAAGAAAAAAAATTGAAAAATTTGTAAAAACCTTAAAAACAGTGAAAACCCAATATTGTCCCTAACAAATCACTCTCAAACCGACGTCTGGAGAAAGAAGGGGAAGAAATGGTAAGGAAACCGACGACTTTTTCTTGGAAGGAGATCGACCGGCCACCATTAGAGGCGAAGAAAATAAAATTTCCTTATTTTTTTCCCATTAATTTTTGAACCTGAATGTTGAAGCTTTATTTTGTTAGAAATAGTGGTAGAAATTTTTATAGATTATGTAAAATTACTAGAAATTGCCTTTTTGAGGTTTTAGTAGTCGGAGATTGTCGGAAATGGCGATCTCCGGGAGCAGACGACCGTCAGCTGGCACAGGTCGCCTATCGCCTGGGCTTTTATTTTATTTACGGCACAAGCCGCTGTCGCCTGGGCTTTTATTTTATTTTATTTTTTTTCATGTGAATTAAAATAATTGAAATGTAACAATAAATTATTATTTAAACGATAAATGAAAAATATAAATAATGAATAAATGTTAATAATCAAAATACGCAATTAAAATTTAATTGACACAAATTTCTAACATTTGAATTAAATGATTAAATATGTAATTTGCTTGTTCGATAAATAATTTAAATAATCAATTAATATAAGTAATTAAATCAAATAATTTAAATGAACAAAAACAAATAAATGAAAAACAATTGAAATAAATAAATAATTGAAATGCTCAAAAATAAATAATGAACATTTAAATAATAATTAATATTTATTTAAATGATAAATGAATAAATGTTAATAATCAAAATATTAGTTAAAGTTTAATTGAAAGAAATTTCTAACATTTGAAATAAATAATTAAAAATTTACGTTTACTTGTTCAATAAATAATTTAAATAATCGATCAATATAAGTAATTAAATCAAATAATTTAAATGAACAATTAAAACAAATAATTGAAAAACAATTAGAATAAATAATTAATTGAAACGCACAAAAATAAATAATGAATATTTAAATAATAATTAAATAATTATTTAAATGATAAATGAATAAATGTTAATAATCAAAATATTAGTTAAAGTTTAATTGAAAGAAATTTCTAACATTTGAAATAAATAATTAAATATTTACGTTTACTTGTTCAATAAATAATTTAAATAATCAATCAATATAAGTAATTAAATCAAATAATTTAAATGAACAATTGAAACAAATAAATGAAAAAAATTGGAATAAATAATTAATTGAAACGCACAAAAATAAAAAATGAACATTTAAATAATAATTAAATAATTATTTAAATGATAAATGAATAAATGTTAATAATAAAAATATTAATTAAAGTTTAATTGAAATAAATTTCTAACATGTGAAATAAATAATTAAATATTTACGTTTACTTGTTTAATAAATAATTTAAATAATCGATCAATATAAGTAATTAAATCAAATAATTTAAATGAACAATTGAAACAAATAAATGAAAAACAATTGGAATAAATAATTAATTGAAACGCACAAAAATAAATAATGAACATTTAAATAATAATTAAATGATTATTTAAATGATAAATGAATAAATGTTAATAATGAAAATATTAATTAAAGTTTAATTGAAATAAATTTCTAACATTTGAAATAAATAATTAAATATTTACGTTTACTTGTTCAATAAATAATTTAAATAACCGATCAATATAAGTAATTAAATCAAATAATTTAAATGGACAATTGAAACAAATAAATGAAAAATAATTGGATAAAAATAATCAAAGTAAGTAATTAAAATGTAGATAAACAATTGAAATAAATATCTAACATTTAAAATAAATAATTTAATATTCAATTAATAATTAAAATAAATATTGAATAAACAACTAAAGAAAAATATAACAAATAATTACATATTTACATTTAAATGTTCAATAAATAATTTAAAGAAAATAATTAAATATACAATTATAATAAATAATTAAAATTAAGCATTCAATAAACAATTAAAATAAATGTTAAATAAACAAATAAACAATTGAAATAAATAATTTAGATAAACAATTGAAATAAATAATGAACATTTAAATAAAAATAAACAATTTAAATAATTAAGAAATATAAATTTTCAAAATAATTTATTTAAATATGTAATTAAATATAAATAATCAAATTTAATTAAATAAAGAATTGAAATAAAATTCTAACATCAAAATAAACTATGAAATAAATAATTTTACAAAAATTACTTTTTCCCTTTTCATAAGTTGTTGTGTAATTTTTAATTCATTTTCTTTATTATCCGTTATTTCGTGCGTATATTACTTACAGTTTGATCAGTTGAATTTTGTGACATTATGTTTCAAATGTTCTAACATTTGAAATTTTACAGGATGAATTACCATTTGGACGCAGCCTTGAAAGAAGTTCCTGACAAAGTTATGTCGAATCGTAACTTTACCAACTTCATAGTAGTGTTGGATTCATTGGGCGAGGAGCACGCAGAGATATTCCGTCGATCCTGTCTATGGTCCCTGTATTCACTGCAATCTGTATAGTTCTCTGGACAGTTGATCGATTCATTATTGCGTCGGCTGCTTAAGCCAGTTGACGGAGATGCCCTCCACTTTGATCTTGGGGGCAAGGTTGCTACATTTTCTATACTCGAGTTTGCCCTCATCACTGTATTGAGATGTACGGGCGAAAAGGCAGCGAGGGCCAGTATTTCGACAGACAAGATGCTGCTGAATGATTATTTTAATGGGCACACGACAGTGACACTGGCGTAGTTAGAAGATGCATTCAGGGGATGTGACCAGATGTCCTACAAGTTGAAGTTGGGGATGGTATTCATACTGGAGAGCGTACTGAGGTGTCATCACAGGAAGATATCAATTAATGTTTTTCATTTGCAAGTTGTTGATGACATCGATACGTTTAACAACTATTCGTGGCTTTGTCGATACTTTACGCGTCTTCAGGAGGGAGCATTCGATGCCTAGGGGAGATAGGTCGGAGTGTAAGTACGATGTATACGGCATGCCGTTAGCTTTGCAGGTAAATGTTTAACATAATGAGTTATCTATTTGTTTATTAAATTGTACATATAATAATCGTAATGGTTGCAGATATGGGTCTACGAGACTGGCCCCATCCTGGCTGGTTGGTATGCGAGAAGAGGGGATACATGCATCCCTCGGATGCACCGTTGGCGAGCACAAGACAAGCCCATTGCAAAACAGTTATAAGTTATTCTCTACGATCCTGAGGTACGTATTATATATTTGCGCTTTCTGTTGTCTGTCATTTTCGAAATCTCGATACGTGGTCAGTAATTCGATGAAATGTCAATATGTTAGCTTGAAGTCCTCACTGAGCTGACACCATCGATTGAGGAGGATCAAATTTATATCCGTGAGTTGTTGACAAATCGTGTTGCTCGAGAGAGGCCTGAGTCCATCGTTGATTGGGACACGATATGTTAATTGAATATAATATGTTAATTATCGTTATAATTTTTTAATTAAGTTATTCATTTGTAATGTTTATTTTTTTAGGAGCGTCGAGGGTGTCACATTCCCCGAGGATGTCTCCTCCGTCGAGGGTGTTACCTCCCTACATGCGATTACCTCCGCCGAGAGTGTCACCTCCCTGCATAAAATCACCGTCTCCTAAGTCCGGACACCTCCCACGTGGATCAGCTGCACGTAGTTAGAGTGCTTCCATCGATGATATGTTTCGACTTATGATGGAGATTAGAGGCGATGTAGCTGACTTACGAAGTGATGTCGGGATGGTACAGGTCGATTTAAGAGACTTTTATGCTGAGGTCGTAGTGATACGGGGTGACATAGTAGGCCTGCGTGGGACTGGCGAGTATCAAGATGGAGGGGGTGGCGGAGATAGCAAATATCGTAAGTGTTTATTATTTTATTTTTGCCATTTACAACTTACATTCTCGTTAGATGGTGATGTGCTAATACAATATTTTGTAATTGTATGGGTGATTGCGGCATGTTCTCAATCAAGTACATAGAATTTTTGAGTATAGCACAGAATGTTGATGCAATCAACCAGGCGTGGATATAAAATTAGAGAAATAAATTAGCTTGTGATTTATTTGAATTTAATGATAATCCGTAGATATTGGAGCCGTGTTTTTTTAAAATAATTGTACATATTGTAACGTTTAAATATTGTATATTTCATTCATTCATTCATTTGTAATTACAAAATAATTGTAAAACATTTATTATTTTTTTAATATTTAATATTTAATTTTTAGTTTATGTGTCTATTTAAATGTTTCATGACGTATTTATAATGTTTGTGTATATTGTGGAAAACGCACTGAGTTTTTTTTTTAAAAAATCTTCAAATATTACAAAACTAATTAATAAAATATTGAAATAAAAAAACTAAATCTAATAATTAACATTAAGAATATGCATAAATAATTAATATCAATGTTATAAATAATGTTACGTAAACTTCAATTACACATCTGTTACGTTGTCATGTAGAGGGATCTGATTTATACAAAATCTTCTAGTATATCCTATTGCACCGCACCTGCCGCACTTACAAGGGTGGGGAAATTCTCTGATCGATGGTATTCTAGACGTATGTGTACGTCCAGGAGTACGTGGCCCGACTGCCGATGACAACAAGTTATTCAATCAGAGAATGTGATCGGGAATTTCCCACTCGGCTTCATTCGGTACAAGAAATATGGTTTCAGCATATGCTGCTCTCTAAGAACTAGTCGTGTAATAAGCACTG